AGACAGGGTCGTCCCAATATGCGTTTTTGCAATTTGCATATAGGCAAAAACGCATAAAAACGCGTACTGGCATCATCAAATTGAATTTGATTTCAGATATTAATGAATGCTCGGAGGGAATTCATTCATGTGGCGACAGACAATGCATAAATCTTCCAGGCAGTTACAAATGCCGCTGTTCAGCAGGCTTTGAGTTCAATGAAACGGTACGATCTACGCAGTAACGGAACCCATTGAGAGGCTGGGTGCATCCGATCTCAATAAGCGGGGGTACGAAGAAGCTTGCCATATTTTTATGCCCCTTCTTAAATTAGTCCAAATGAACCCCAGATCAGCCCACGGAGGTGCTAAAATTCTCCTTTTCAAAGAAACCAGGATTTTTCTCAAAATCAGTGAAGTGTAAAACCCTTCAAGCGTATTTGAATTCGTAACAAACTTTTAAATTAGCTTTTCCGTTGCTGTTGTCTTGGAAAATTAGATATTTTATTGCGCTTTTGAAAATGGCTCTCTAGCCACGCAGATATGCTTGCACGCTTTTTTTGCTCGAAATCTTTTATTGGAAAGTGTAAATAAAATGAGGTTTTCCTCTTATTTCAGAATTTGAACTAGCGGAATTAGTGGGGCAGTTAAAAGTCTCTTTCACGATTCACTAACTTACTTAGGCAGTAATTTACTTGCGCGGTATCAGGCCTTCTTAGCAATCGAGAAGTTTGCTTTCTTTGAGGAGAAAAATGGCCAAGTCTTGACGGCAAGGACTTTTTTACATGAATATTTTTGCCATGCCGAATCACAAGCGGTTGTTTCCCTTTTTCGAGGGCATAATTCAGTGGGACTTTCATGCTCTGAAAGCTTTCAGATAAAGCAGTGCGAAGATATCGATGAGTGTAAGAAATTTGCGGGGCATGTTTGCTCACTACACGCTACTTGTGAGAATACATACGGCTCATTTAAATGTCTGTGCAAGGATGGCTTTGCGATTGCGAAGGATGCTCGGAACTGTGATGGTAAGTTCGAGGTACGAGCCGGAGAAAAAAGCGGATGAGAGGATTAGCTACTGTATTTATATTCACAACATTATGAATGATTTTCATTGATTGAATTAACTGATGTATACGGCTTAATGGACCGAAACATTCCTTACTAGGCATTTACTGTAATTTTCTATGGCTCCTATTGCACAATAATATTTTAATTGGTATGACATATTCTTTTACTATTACTTGCGATTACCGCTGCATAAATTTTGTCGCACATTCCTATAAATTTTGTAAATATTTGTGTTTTATTTGACAGTCTTTATATCATCATCAATATAATACTATTTTATTACTTTTGTTGGATCGTTTTTAAGTGTTCCAATAGCAAAATTGTAAATGATGATTATGCAGTCCTACTTTTAATTCTATTCTAATTAAATGATGCTTATGTGGCAACTGTGGTCGGATGTTTATCGACAACTGAAATATATGTTGACCATTAACTCAACTGATTTTGACCAAATTAAAACGTGCTGGATGTGTTCTAATTGAATCGCAATGAGTTTTATATTTCTCAAATGTTACGTTCAGTCTTTTGGTTACTGACCAAAATGTTGAATGTCAATAAAATTGCAGAAAATTTTTTGAGTTTTCTACCGAAACTTAAGTTTTGAGGGGGCTGACCACAAATGACCAATTTATGGCTGACCACACAAGCAAACTTATTATCCGGAACAGCTTGCTTCTGGAAAAAAAAAACTTCCAGATATTGATGAATGTAGCCTGGGCATTGCAAATTGCGCTCAAAAATGTGTCAACATACCGGGAAGTTATCAGTGCATTTGCGAGCGTGGCTATCGTCTCGGTGCAGATGGCATCACTTGCGAAGACATTAATGAGTGCACCCTTTGGGCTGGCTCAGGTACGCTCCACGTTTCTTTGAAGGAATTCATTTCGTTGAACATCATCGTTTTGCGAATCATTCTTCGCTTGTCTTAGGTGATGATCTTTGCATGGGCAGTTGCGTGAATACACCTGGTTCTTATCGATGCCAGTGCCCTGCCGGTTATGAAATACAGTCAGACGGTAGGACATGTAAAGGTAAGTACCAATCAGTATTTCCATCAGTTTTCGCAAAAATATTCCTAAATTTTGCGTCCTTGCGTAAAATGCTGCACGAATGTGCTTTTTGCAATGCTTCAAAAAGGGCATGCCTAACTGGACATTCGCACAGTTAAGCTACAAAAACTAAACGATCTGGAGTATGGAACTCAGTCTCATCCAACGTGTTTACCAAACCTGTTGCCACCTAGTTAACACTTTTTCAAATACAGCGACAATTTCTGCAGTTGGAATTTTCTCCCCAAAGACCAAGTATTACTTGTTAAATAAGCCCTCAAAGAATTTGTTAATCACAGCTGTCGAAATTTCAAGCTTATGCAATACACGAATTTATATCTTGTTGGCAAAAATCTGTAGATTTTAGCATTCCCCCTCTTCACTTGTAGTAAGTTTGGGTGGAGATGCAGAAGCTTAAGCTGGGACTAAAAAGTACGGACATTTTTGACTTCACTTGCTAATTTTTCTTTTTTTTTTGACTCGTTATTTTTAACTTTGCTTTTCTTTGTTTCAATAAAATGAGTCGTGAACTGAGTAAGCACGATGCTTTTCTGAAGCTTAACAGTTATAATAGGTTCGATGCAGTTTATAAAATTTTTGAATCATCTCATCTTTGGGTGTTTTTAATGCTGTTTATTTCCGATTTCCACTTTTCTCTTCGCATCGCACAAATGAAAAGCACACTGTATGACAAGACCAACAATAATTCGTGACTGCAGAGCCTACACAAAGGCGCGACCATGGCATCTATCCGTATTTTTAGCAAAATCTGTTTATTTTTAGTCGTTATCTGACTGATTTTTGATTGAATACTTTAGTATTTTAATGTTCAAATCTTGGTTTTCTCAATGCCCCTAGGCAAAAAATACTAGTCGGCTTTGCTTGACTTGTCAGAACTGTCCGTGTCATTTCAACAAACAAATTTGATAGCCTTCGCTACAGCCTGTTTTTTGATGGTCGCTTTCATTTGAAACTGAGCCCATCCATAAACATCATATAAGAGAACACAGAAAAGTTAATTTTTTCGAACCTGTTAGGCTGCATTTTTAAAAAATTGGCCCTCAATCGCGTTAAAATTCATTTAACAATACTTTTTACAGATATTGATGAATGCGCGAAAGGGCAGTGCCAAGGTAATGATCAAATATGTGTGAATACACTGGGGAGCTTCAAGTGTCACATAATAAATTGCCCAACAAATTATGTCCACGATAAGAATTACAAAAAGTACGTGTGATGGTTTTTTTCTTTCTAACTACAACAGTGCTGATACTAATATCGGTAACTTTGAATCTCTAAAGCCCCCTTTTTTTTTTTGATCAAATATCTTTAATTCAAATTTAGTTTGATTCCTGGGTGGAAGATATTTATTAGCTTTCTGCGTCTCTTATTTTGGGATTGCTGCGAGAAGTGCAAGAATGAGTACAGCTTTTTTTTTTACTACTGGTTATGGCTCCTGCAGAATAAATTCCCGGCAAAACCGTTTCTCTTCGAGCTGTAAATAATTTGTTGTGGCTCTTTTTGAAACATCTGGAGGAGTTTCGAGATTATTAACGCTACTTACTGCAACCGCATGTCGGTATTTGCATGGCACTAACATATCAATTTAGCCGCTGTAACCGAGTGCGCCGCTTGTGCGATTCATTAACTGAAGAGGAATGTAAAAATCATCCAGTTCGTATCAGCTGGGAGTTTACATCGATACCTAGACAAGAGCCAATATCATCCAGACGAACATCGATCACTCTGTTCACGGTCCGCGGTCCGACCTCACCATCCAGTAGTGTCCAGTTTGAGTTAAAACTAAAAGACGCTATACCAGGTCAATTTTTCAAATTTTAATTTTCTGCATAAATTTACCCTTTTGCAATTTCGCATATTCTAAACACATTTTTTTTTTGTTTATTGATTTTGTCATTAGAATTTGCTATCGCACATACTGCACAAATTCACATTCTAATGCAATTGGCGCTAGTTATTTAACCCGTCATTTCTAAGAGTGAGTAAATGCGGTAAAAATAAGAATATTTTTCACCTTGATACAGTAGTTTCCTTAAGTGTTCATTGGAAGAGGGTCTAGGCACAAATAAAATGTGGGATATTACGCTGCATGCCGCAGCCATGCTGGCATTTTGCCAATTTGTGGGCCTAGGCCTTTCACACACTCCATTTTAGAGTAATAATCAATATCCGTGTAGTGGGTTTATTTCAAGCCAAAATCGTGCACCTTTTTCTCCTTAAAAATTTGCATATTTTCAGAGAAATACTACGTGTTGCCAGCAGTTCGAAGTAATTTTCTGTTGCAAAAGGGTGAGGAACGGAATGCGGCGGTGATCGCTCTTAGGGATTCGTTGGATGGCCCACAGGAAATCATCTTAGAACTCATTTTGAGGCTTAGCATTGATGGTATATTCCAAAGCAAATACATTGCTAACTTAGTGATCAACGTTGCAGCGCATCGTAGACAGCGAATAACGCCTCTTTCAGACAGTTTCAACGTTTGATAGATTCACGAACATAAAATTCTTGTATTTACAGATTTAGGAATCAGTAGTTTCGCCTAACGGGCAGTGCGCAAGACGAACTTCTCCGGAAAATTTGTTGATCTGAGACTAATTTTTGAGAGTGCTAACCTGAGTGGATTTCGTGGGTCTGAATTAACTTTTATGTGTAATAATCTATCGTTGTGCACGTTGTTTGTCGTATTAACTGGTTGCCCGTCTAGCTTTAATGCTTAAATGAGCGAGTTCATTTTTTTTTTTTGCAGTACGCATTTTCGGGTTTTATAAAAAAAAAAGTGTTTTTGGTTATATTTGTTATTGGGATGCTGATGTAAAAAAATAAACAATCAGGTATGAATGGTTGCTGCTTTACATTTAACCTGTGCGCTCACTGCCATAAATTCACCATAAATTTTGTTTCGAGGAAAATGAGTGATCCCGTTGATCCGTCTAGTTGTTCTGGTTCTCGGGCTAGCATTACCCGCCAAAAATTTCACTTGTCCACGTGGGAATCACGCACACCCAGAAGCTGAATTTAAAATCTTTAGGTTGCACTTGGGCTGAGGACATCTACCCAAAATTTCAGCTTCCTGGCGTGTCTAGTTTCTGAGTTAGCAATTTTTCTGTTAAAACTTTTACACTGCTCCTAAGTGAGGACCATGCGCACATAGGAGCTGAATTTAAAATCTTTAAATTGTGCGTGACAGGGGACATTTGCTTAAGATTCCGGCTTTTCAACTTTTCTGTTTCCAGAGTTAGCATTTTCCTGCCAAAGCTTTCACGGGCTTGTATGCGGGACTCGGACGTTCGCTAAAGTTTGTACCGCGTTCTTAAAATCGCGCTGGACGCGCTGACAAAATTTCAGCGTGGAAGCTTACTTGGTTGCCGAGTTGAAAAATAGTCGAACAGACGCATACACACACACACACACAGACACGCATATATACACAAACACACACGCCATGGTTCGTCACAACATGCGTTTTTGCATTTGTACATAAGCGGAAACAAAAAAGGATTTGTTTGCCGGTGTATGCCCTTGAATATCTTTTCAGATGTCTTTTTAGGGTGCTCCAAACGCATCGTTGTACATCCGAGACATAAAAATTTAGCATTAAGCGCCAAAGCAAATCTGTCCACTCTATCATATCATAATCAGTCTACTTTATGAAATTTCTGGCTGAAATGATTGTGCTTAAAATTAACGCCGTAACAGTTTTCTTTTCGCTTATTACTACTATGCACGAAAACTGAAATAACAGGTCAACATAGTCAGGCTTCACTAATGATACAAATGGACAGTGTGGTGACTGACTGGTCAGCATACGTTTCGGTCTTGTGCATTGTATTTCACCTTTTATAGGCACCAAGATTCTCTTTTGACACCAACTGCGCATTCTCAAATCCTAAAATCTCCTATACAGTTCAGTCCTTAAAAAGCTAAGATTTATTATCTACTAGCTAGCTGATAGCATCATGTGCCACCAGGCGCAATCATACCCTCTTTTATAAAAAAAAAAGTTTGGCAGGACATAAAAAATTATTCAAATGTCGGAAAAAATTAGCACCGCACTTTGGCTTATTGGCACCAACTTAAAATTACCAGGATCGCTCAGGTGATCGATGTAAAGATTTGGTGTTCCTGGTGTGCATCTACGTGTGGGGCTCATCTGTGCTAGTTTTTAATCTGCCCTGGATCACGTGTAGTTCAAATTTAAGGAAAATAATTCAAAAAAACTGTTACAAAGGAAACATGACATAAATCATGAAGGCATAAAGGCATAAGTCATTAGCGTGAATCGCCGTAAATTCTGCATAAAGCGAAATGAATGATTTCCATTGAGTGGTCGTTTATTGGAAATGACCTTCCTTTTCAGTGAGCGATTTTCCCGCCAGGACTTTCACTCATCCGTACGGGAGAATCACGCGTTAACTGAAGGCTGTGTTCGAAATCTTTAAGTTGTACTTAGACAACGACTTTGAATCTTTAGATTCGGACCCAAATTCAGCCAAATTTTTTAAGTTCAACTCCGGTGCTGTGAAAGCCAAAAAATCCGAAATTTGGATGCATCTTTTTCAGCCGCAGACTGATTCAGAAACCTAAAATTACTTTCACATTTACTCGAATCTACTGCTTCTTATGGAATCGCAGAAGCGAGCGACTTTTGGGCGTAAGCAAGTCAGGTGCATTTGCTTTTTTCAAGCATGATAGATTCACTATTCCTAAAATTATTACAACAGAGATCAGACCGGGCGTGGGAGCGATAGAACAGCGGAAATCGTCATTGTTTGTTACCAAAATATTATTTCTATCCAGGTTATGAGTTGCAGTGTGGTGGACGATGGCTATTCATGTCTGAAACAGTGCCATCCAGGTGACCCAACCTGTATCAGTAATCACACGCGAGAGATATTGTATCAGTTTCGAGGCTTACCATCTACCAAACATATTAGGCACCCCATCGAGGTTAGCTATTTCGCTCACATAAAACAATCTTCTCGCGGACCATGAACCGGTTGACTACAAGTCACCACGAATAATGAAGAGGGATTTACTTCGTTTTTAGCTCTTTTCCTCATAGAAACTATAATGCGGGATTGCTGGTGGGTCAGCTTCACGCTTCGGAAGAAAGCCAAAGAAAGGAAAGCGCATATGCTTGGCTCTCGTTGAAAATTATTTTCGCCTCACACGAACGTAAAAGGGAAATGCCTTGAGTAAAAAGTCACCGTCCCAGTAACTTTTGACTTAAGGCATTTCCATTAACATTCTTGATGGATGGAGAGGTTTATTTTTCGAACACAAAAATATCATCCAGGGCTTTTAAAGGCTTAATTCCAGGTTTCTCGTGTACGAACGCAGATGGATACGCCATTTTCAGTAGAATACAGGATAGATAAGGCAAACAGAGACAAGTTTGCGGTACAACAGGATCGAAACATAGGTAATGGCCACTCAAAAATTCCGAAAATTATATCTGGAGAAGCAGCCTGGAATTATACCTGGAGTTAATTTAAAAACCACTTAAACAAATCCATGCGCTCAGATTTATATAAATGTTTGAATGTAAAACCAAATTTCGCCAATAAATCTCATACGGCATCCAGAACTCTTATCCTGGTCTTGTGCCTTTGATCAAAAAACGGACATTCATTAGTGAATTCCCGCTCTCTTTTTTATCTGAGAATTGCTTGTCAATAATACAGCGAGAGCAACGCGTCAATCTTGGGAAGTAAAACGCTGCAGTTTTTAACCACGATGGATTTTTGACAAAATTTTTCAGGAATTGTGAAATTGACAGCGCCATTGTGGGGGCCGACAACCGAACTGGTACGATTGCACATTAACACCTACTCACGATCTCGTGTACTCCTTGCGCACAATGTCGCTCTTATAACTATATATGTTTCACCGTACACATTTTAATGCTCGCGAAAATACTTCCTGTGCGCTCACCTGGCAACTCCAGCATTTTAGCGCAAACGCCGCATTTGGAAAATTCTCAAGGAATTACACCGGAAGCCGTTACTGATGCATGTAAACATGCAGTTGGATGTAAAATATGAGAATTAAATGTAAATTTTACCTTTTTATAAGAGAGCTATCTGTTAGCGGTGTAGGAATTGTTGTCCTGACTAATATTAGCAGTAGCGATTGTGAATATTCAGGATGTATCGCTAGTTGAAGAGCGTTGTTTTCTAAGTAGTGCTGCTTCTTATACACGTGCTTCGCAGCCTTTTACACTTGTTTCATAAGTTCGAGTTCACGCTGTTGCCCCTTTCCTGAGAAATTCTCTTTTGGGAACGATAGCAGATTATTTGCAGTTTCCGTACAGTAAGTGTTCTGACCCACCATCAACTCGCTTGTAAGCAATCCTCGAAAGGAGAAACTGTCGACAGCCTTACCAGCCGATAGTAGCTGTTGGCATTTGCTATTGCTCAGGCTACATCCCAAGTACTTGTTCCTCTCAGTAAGAGCGGAAACGGAGAGGGGTTTGACTAGATTTTTGAAAAACCCTGACGTTACTGAATTTCGTTCTAAATAACCGAACAACCGGTTGGCCAGCTTGCATTGCTCACACACGGCTGGTGAATGTGTCGAAAAATTCGATACGTTGATAAGCTCCTTTGCTAGTCCGAATCACTTATTTTGTGCAGTTTTCTTAGGTTTAGACTACAGAAGGTTGATAAGAGATATTTTTTGGGTCATCTTGTATTTTTGCTTGCAAAAAGCATTCGTTCTTTTCTGATCCTGTTTTTTGGAAGTAGAAAAAACAAGATCGTGAATGTAAGATGCATTTCTGTCAAAGCTGCTATTAGGCTTGAGGTGTGCTATCAGTAAACGCTTTTACAGTAACCATCGAACAGCTTCGCCACCAAGAATTCTCAAACTTTTCAATTGGGGCTAGGTCGTAGATTTGCCGGCAGTAAACAAATTCGAAAAGAATTTTTTACCAAGAAAAAAAAATCGTTTCGTCTTCCAGAAAACGAAGAGTTGTATGGCTACTGTTGTACGATATTTCTTGTATAAGATGAAACTAAGGCTGTTCTACTCTGTTTTAAAACGGCTGTCTTGGTAAGTGCAGGCAGAGCTGCCCTGCGTTCCGATCAGATTTCTTGGACAGCAAATGAACAATGAAAATTGGTGTATGAAAATTGGAAAATACCATTCACTGCATCCAGAATATTTAAAATAGGCTCACACCAGGTGCAGTCTTGTGCTTTCGCGCTAAAAATTAAAACAATCTGGTCGTTAATTGTGTGAATGATTGTTACTTCACGTTTAACATGAGCACTCACTACCGTAAATCTTACAAAAGAAAAATGACAAACTTCCGTTGACCGGTAGCTCATGAAAAATGACCTAGCTGTTCTAGTTCCCGAATTGCGAGTCCTCCCGCTAAAAATTCAAATGTCAGTACGTGAAAACTAGATGTACTCAAGAGTGTGACTAGCATACTGGACCCACCGATTTAGCGGCCCCTCAGCCCCACTGAATCCATGTAACCATGACTTTTTCTCATCTAAACTGCAACCTTTTCTCTGTCCTGTGTCTCCCGGAAAGTTCCAAAGGAAAAAAAAAAAATTAAACAGTAATACAAAATTCATGTCTGCGATTTCTTCGAGGCTTGTACTTTAAAATTAATAATCTTAGCGGCAATTCTGAGTGAACTGGGGCAAATTTCTTTTCTCTCCCCCGATTTCTCACCACTACTTTTCGGGCTGAGGCTCATTTGAGCCCTATTTAACTAAAAATTTAAAAATTCCTGATAATTCATTACTGGTCAGGTGCTTTGCTAAGCTCCTCGCATATTTCTGTAGAAAACGTTTTGCAGTTTACTTCTCCTGGTTCAACCTGTTAATTTGCAGCGGCTTCTTCGCGATCGGGTCCTGAACTCGGCCTCGCCTTCCTTTTCTTTCCCAGCCGCATACAGCATCTAGAAAATATTGCGTCAAGGGACGCCCAAAGTAAAATTTTATAAAAACCCCCTCTTCCGCTTTGAATTTCTATGTTTATGAAGAAACAGTATTTGCGAACCGCGGCATTGTTTATGGATGCAGAGCCGATGCATAGAAGTCGGGATGAGAGTTTGAGTATAAGAAAGGATTGGCGTGGTAAATTCGTAGTAGCTTTTAGACTTTCTTGAACGATTTTATTTAGTAAGAAAAGAAGAATAAAAGAAAGAAGGAGTAATTTTCTAACGAATTTTCATGACATAAGACTGCATCACGAATCCAGTTTTTGCGCATCTCAAAATTACACGCTACAGAGCGTGCCAAATGAAGGACGAATGGGGTAGCAAGGAGCGAGGTTGCTGTATAAAATACTAAAGCACGCTGAATGTTCAGATTTCAGAGCAACGAGAAAGCAGTCTTTTCCGTTTGCGACCATCCTGCTCCCGCAGCTATCTTAACCGCTTCTGTTTTTGGTCCTCTCGCTTCATCGATTGCCCACATTCCGGATAACTGATCGATTTTGTAATTGCTCACTTTCTCCTCCGATTTTTAAATCGGCGTTTACCAGTTTTTCGTGCATTACCTCAAAAATACTCTCATACCGGGGTCAGTGTTGACACTGGTGCGCTGAAGACCAAGGGGAACATTGGTTTCAAGCGAGTGGGGCCGCTGTTGTGTTTGCTTGTATGAGATATTTCTTGGAACTAGGCAGTGTTTGTAAATCACTTCTTTTCTGAAACAAGCTAAGGATATTTTATTGTGTTGTAATGCATGCCATGAGTTACGTGTTCTAAACCTTTCTGTTTCCTTAACTGTACTATAAGAATAGTTAATGGCGTGAAGATTGAAAAACTAAAGAATAAGTCTATGTCGCACCGAACAGGCCAATAATCTTTTTTTTTCCATCAAGTTCTAATCTGTACCTTTATTTAACTCCCTGAATTCGGTATTTTTCAGTATATCTCAGCCTAGTCTGGTTTCCATTTACAAAATTACAGTTCTTAAACTTCCTGTTTGCTGTCCGGTCAATCTCTTTTTTTTTTCTTATTCATTACTTATCTCCTTTTCACCTTTTTTAAAAAAAAAACCCTATGAACCGTTTTCTTTTACAAATTTACTGCATTTTTATGCGTTTTTGCTGTGCAGCGCTATAGCAGCGCTATAGCGCTGCTACAGCTAGCAAAA